TGAAAGCGGGAGATGGCGTAATGGAGTTCCGCCACGTTCCAGCTGCAAAACTGGGTGCGAGGCCCACATGACAAGGCTTGGCAGGCAGAATTTGGCCCGTGGGTCTTGTGTTTGATATTTGTTCTTTAGACAGTGACAAGAAAACTTTAAAAATTCGCCATTAGGGTCAATGATTCCTTTAAAAGACTGTAACAGCAAAAGACAACTCATGAATAATATTTAGAAAACTGCTATGACAATGTACGCATTTTATAATCACAATCGCTAGAAAGGTGGAGCTTTTAATTTGAGCTTTCAGCTTTGTATGGCTTCATAATCATCTTCATTTATACAAGTGATTGAAGGAAGAGCTGTCCTTGTTGCCCAGAGCAACCAGCTGTTTTATCAGTCATAACCCCCATACTACACACATAAACAAAAGTACTCTGATTTGTTGCTATTAGCAGGAAGTCGAGTCCCTCCATCATTTGTTTTTATAAAGATGTATTGTTCCTTCTTGCATGACAAGGAAATGGCTTTGCAGAGGACATTTGTACTGTAATAGCAAGCATGACATGAAAAATGAAGCAATATCCCCTTGATAAAAGCTGCACTTCAGGAAATAAACTTGCTTTTATCATGTTTTGCACGGTTTACAAAACACATTGCAAAAAGAGTTATCACAAATTCAACTTTCTCAATGACAACTGCTTTCAAGATTCTGCACACCTACCAAGCAAAACATTGCTGCATAACCCTCGCTTATTTATGAACGATGTGGAGTTCAGTCCAATAATTTTGTTTTTATTTTGTTTTTGGTTGGAAAGGGTTTGAACCTTAAAGCTTTCTATTGCCGTCTGGGTTACTTGCTGGGGTTATTACCCTTCAAATCCAGCTGACATAGCACGAAATGTTCCTCAGGTATGGGGAAATCCCAACTTTACCAATTGTCAGAGGTCTTCCTGCTCTGGTGACAATGTCAATAGTTGGATTTTCCTTTCACTTTCTGTCCATGTGACAAATGTCAAGAAGACAATAACGCTGGCTATACACCACTCAAATTTTGGTCAATTAGGGCTGAATAATCTAAAAATTCAAACTGTGGGTGGCCCTGTTGGCAATGTTTTGCCTGTCTCCTTCTATTTTGGAGGCAACATACACTGTATTGCCAAAAGTATTGGTCGGCCGGCCTTTACACGCACATGAACTATAATGGCATCCCAGTCTTAGTCTGTAGGGTTCAATATTGAGTTGGCCCCGCCCTTTGCAGCTGTAACAGCTTAAACTCTTCTGGGAAGGCCGTCCACAAGGTTTAGGAGGGTGTCTATGGGAAGGTTTGACCATTCTTCCAGAAGCACATTTGTGAGGTCAGGCACTGATGTCGGACGAGAAGGCCTGGCTCACAGTCTCCTCTCTAATTCATCCCAAAGGTGTTCTGTTGGGTTGAGTTTAGAACTTTGTGCAGGTCAGTCAAGTTCCTCCACCCCAAACTGGCTCATCCATGTCTTTATGGACCTTGCTTTGTGCACTGGTGCGCAGTCATGTTGGAACAGGAAGGGGCCATCCCCAAATTCTTCCCACAAAGTTGGGAGATTGAAATTGTCCAAAATGTCTTGGTATGCTGACGCCTTAAGAGCTCCCTTCACTGAAATTAAGGGGCCAAGCCCAAACCCTGAAAAACTACCCCACACCATAATCCCCGCCTCCACCAAACTTTACACTTGGCACAATACAGTCAGGCAAGTACCGTTCTCCTGGCAACCACCAAACCCAGACATGTCCATCAGATTAATAAACGTAAAACACTAATTTTCCCAACTATTTATAAGCACACTTCACCTCTACCCTTAAAGGTGTACAAATATAAATACAAATATGCTCAGTGATAATTAATAAAATAACTTTTCTTATTATAATAATCTCAAAAATCCAAAATCTATAATTTTTCAAATTAAAGTCCAATTTCAAATTAAAGTCCAATAAATAAATAAATACGTGTAGTCCAAAAATTGATTCAAATGTAAAAACTCTCCGCTGCTTGTGATTAATGATTATGATTATGATTACGTCCAATGACGAAACGCGTCAAAGGGAGGTGACGTCAGACGCATACGAGAATACCGGAAGTAGAGTGGCGGCCATCTTGGAGAGGGCAAAATATCGGCTGTGATTTGCGATTAGGACTCTCCTGGATTCCGGATGGCAGACAGGTCTTTATGTGCTATGTGCGATGAAAGATGTTTTTAATGTAAGCAGGATAATTAAAAGCTTTTGATCTTAGTATGTGGCAGTATCACGCTATGATTTGTTCCTTGTATATGGGTATCTGGCTGGCGTATATGGTGGAAGCATATCTCAGTTGCTAGGGTGGAAGGATCCACACAAAGCAAACCCTGAGGACATCTCTAAAAGGATTTATATCACCAGACAATTTTCTGTGGATTGAGATCAAAAATATAAATTTCTTTGAATATTGGTAAGGGTTCCATTCTTTACCCTGATAGAAGTGTGCACCTGTGTCATGAGTTTTTAGCACAGTAGAGTGTTTCACATGCATGGTTTTGCACAGTACATCGCATGTGTATGTGGTTTGATATATACACGTGTTTTCACTTGGGTGAATATTATTGGATTGATTTTATATGTAAATTTTTATTTATAAAGGATAATGCACTATGTATATTTTTTTGTTTTTTTGAGGTAATCAAGGTTTTGCAAGCAGCGGAGAGTTTTTACATTTGAATCAATTTTTGGACTACACGTATTTATTTATTTATTGGACTTTAATTTGAAATTGGACTTTAATTTGAAAAATTATAGATTTTGGATTTTTGAGATTATTATAATAAGAAAAGTTCTTTTATTAATTATCACTGAGCATATTTGTATTTATATGTCCATCAGATTGCCATATAGAGAAGCGTGATTCGTCACTTCTGAGAACACATCTCCAGTGCTCTAGAGTCCATGCGCTGACCCCACTCTGTCATTGGACTTTGGAAGTCTTTATCTATTGACTCTGCAGACAGTTGGCGACTTCTGCGCACTGTACGTGGCCTACTTACGTGACTGAGTTGCTGTTGTTCCCAGTTGCTTCCACTTTGTTATAATCCCACTAACAGTTGACCGTGGAATATTTAGTAGCAAATAAATTTCACAGATGGACTTATTGCACAGGTGGCAAATTATCACGGTACCACGCTTCACGAGTCACTGAGCTCCTGAGAGCGACCCATTCTTTCACCAATGTTTGTAGAAGCAGTCTGCATGCCTAGGTGATGATTTTTTACACCTGTGGCCATGAAGGTGATTGGAACACCTGAATCACATGATGTGGAGGGCGGGCCCAATATTTTTGGCAATATAGTGTATGTCAAGTTGAGTGGAAAGTTACCAGCTGAACAGTGACTGCATCTAATCAGATGCAATCACTGTTCAGGTATTCAGAAAGCCATGAGTGCTGTCTGAATACAATAGCCAGCAGTAAAGATTCCTTCATCCATGCTGTTTACGCAGGCCATAGACGGGTCATTTATCAGCCGAATTTTCATTCGCACGAATAATCGGCCGATATTCACGCCGTTAGTGGAGCAATGCCATCGGCCGTTTTTAGTGGATCTTCCCGTTTCTTTTTATTGGTCATGCTGGAAAATCCACGAAAAACAGCTGTTTTTCGTGGACATTGGTGGCAGCATTGGCAATGACCGATTTTTCGTTTATCGGCCGACAATTCCACCGATTTTTTTCATTTATTGGCCGACAATTCGGCCGATAAATGGCCCGTCTATGGCCAGCCTTAGAGTGGATATATTAATCTATTGATTTCTCTCGTTCAGCCCACAAGGCTAAACAAGAGAAATCTACACAAAATAAGTGGGAGATCTCTACAAAAGAGTTACAAAAAACAAAATCCAGGAGATTCCCTTTCTCATTATACTTTTACAGAGATCCTCAATGGTTCTGCAGATTTAAAGAAGGCCAGGTATGGATATTTTAGACATAGTTACATTGTTTCAGCTTGGACCATTGTCACTATGCATATACTATACATGGATGATGCTCCTGGAAGCTGGAAATTACTGAAGCAGACACCACTGCTCCAGTGATCTCTACTTGCTTCTGGGTCCTGTGTCGAATGGCTGGCCTTTTGCATTCTGAACACAGGAGGTTGCCCACTTGGTACAGTACCATTCAGAGAATGTTTTGTGATTTCTGAATGAATGCAAAGTGTTCTCTGATTGATCAAGGTGGAGAGTGTGATGTCACAGCTCCACTTTTTTTACCTTGCTCAATCAGAGAGCGCTTTGCAAAGCAGTCTCTGAATGGCACCCATTCTGAACGTCAACCTCCTGTTTTTAGAATGCAGTAGGGCAGCCACTTGTCACAGGACCTGGAAGCAAGTGGAGATCATAGGAGTAGAGGTGTCTACTTCAGTGATTTCCAGCTACCAGGGGCATCAGCCAGGTATAGTATATGCAGTTACATTGATCCAACCTGGACCGATGTAACTATGTATAAAATATCTATACCTGGAATTCATCTTTAAATTCCCTGGCTGAAAATGGCATTAGCATTTTTCTTCAAGCATAGTCCATATAGTTCTTTGGCAAGGAAACAGCCCTATCATTCTTCCAGACATATATTGTAGCAAGGAAATTAGCAAGCATGGAGAACATCTGGAAATGTTAGTTGTCACTGTATGTAGGGATTAGCAAGGAGTAGTTACACACACGGGGATGTCCAGGGTGCTCGTTTTTAACTCTCTACCTCTCTGCCATTTCCAAGTGTTTAATGGGGACCTATGGCCCTGCTAATGTTTCCAGTGATGTTTAGGACTCCAAAAACAATGATTTTAGGACGAAAGCTGCTGGATGGCATGCATTCAGCAAGTATGTAGAACACCATAACGGGGTTTAAATTTATCAGGGATGCCCTTTCATATTCATTAACAAAAGTAAGTAGTATACAAGTGCCTTTTCTATGGATACATATAAAATCATTATGAAGTACATATGTCTTACCATTTAAATACCAGATTCAGCCACTCGCAGATTACGCCTAACCACAGAACAGTCACTCCCAGTCTGTGCTGGAGGGCGTATGCCAGAGGAAAGTACAGGAGAAAGACAGTGCCGGGGTCACCCAGGTAAGTCAGCCACAACCAGAATTCTTCAGAACCACGAAGGAGCTCTTGCAACGTGCCAGCAAACGCAACGCCAGTGGTGTGTATATCATCCATCTACAAGAGGGCACAGTATAATGAAACGTGTTTCGCAAACTACAGTACTGGCCTGCATTTAGTTCCTCAGGTTTTTCAAATCCTCAAGAAGAACTATGGACTTAATTTATTGTAATATTATTGAAGAGGACCTGCACTTAAAAAGTGAAACTTTTCTATGTTATAGAGAACATTTAGAAATGCTAGCTGTTACTAAGCAGTACCTTAAAATGTCCACCGTTTGTCTTGAATTTCTCCTGAAATTCTTCCTATTCCTTAAACCTCATAGCTTTATATCTGCAGAGTATGATTGTCTACGGCACAACTCTCTGACTGGTAGTCACACAATTCAGAGTGAGATTTGGTGATGACAATACTCCTGCTGCTCACTGTTCTCCTTGCTGGAGAGAGAGCTGTACCTGAGAACCTTCCAATTTCTGCTTCACAATTCTGTGGATCTGAGCTTCCTCCACCAATTTTACTTCTTCTTGATCGTTACCCCACCAGTCAATAGGGGGGCATCTCTTATATGAGGGATTAAAACCCTTTTTCTCTACCAAAATGGCTGCCTCCACACAAAGACATCATGCATGCACGTTCCTAACCCCAGAAACCACTAAACAGCTCATCCACTCCCTCATCATATCACGACTCGACTACTGCAACTCCCTCCTCACTGGCCTGCCTCGCCGCTGGCTATCCCCGCTTCAGTCCATCCTGAATACAGCTGCCAGACTCATTCACCTTTCCAACCGCTCTGTTTCCGCCACCCCCCTCTGCCAATCCCTCCACTGGCTTCCGATTGCGCAACGGATCAAATTCAAAATCCTAACATTGACGTACAAAGCTGTCCACCATACTGCCCCGAACTACATCACCGACCTAATATCCAAGTACTGCCCAGCACGCACACTCCGCTCCTCACAAGACCTCCTTCTCTCTAGTTCCCTGGTCTCCTCCTCCCATGCCCGCCTCCAGGACTTCTCCAGGGCGTCACCCATCCTCTGGAACTCCCTGCCCCAACCCATCAGATTATCACCTACTCTCCTCTCCTTTAGGCGCACCCTGAAAACCCATCTCTTCAGGGAAGCCTACCCCACCCCCTGCTAACTTGCCGACCTCCTCCACTCTTCCTACCACTCCATCCCCACAGCTATCGCCTCCTGTGCCACCATCCCCTCCCTCCTAGACTGTAAGCTCGAAAGAGCAGGGCCCTCGATCCCCTCATGTTTTGCATTGTATTGTTATTGTTCTGTCACATGTTTTGTCCCCCCCTGTAATGTACAGCGCTGAGCGAACTATTGGCGCTTTATAAATACTGTATAATAATAATAATAATAATGCATGGTAAGTCAGAAATGTAAATAGAGATCAGTAGCAGGGAACCTGCAGACAATACCAGTGACATGACAGTGACTACTTGGGCACGGCTTTCACAGTTCAGGTCCTCTTTAACTTCATACAATTTTAAGCTGATAATTTACATCCTTTTCTAATAACTAATGATAAACATTTAATGCATGACAATGGATTCTCAAATCCCTTTCAGGCATATTCGCTTTCATTAAACCTTCCACAGAAGTGATTAGTAAAGGAAACGGACGGCAGATGGAGGAGTCACTGTTAACCTAATCACTTGTGCTTATAAAATTCAGACTGAGCTACTGGGCTCCATAAACCGCTTTTTTCAGTGGGAGCTACAGAGAAACTAGAAAACATGTTTAAATTAAACTCAAGATCCACCTTCCGGATAATATAAGAAAGCATAACATTAACACGCCATATGTCATTATTACCTGAAAGAAAAAAAAATGCATACTTGTTTTTTTGTTCTGACCATAATAAATACATAAAATATACACAAAACAACTAAATAGTCCCTTTAACAAACACTAAAAAAAGTAATTGGCACTAAGCTGATCATGCCCACAAATAAAGTTAAAAATTAAAAGACTACAGATTCGATTTGAACTTGAAATGTACAAAATTGGGATCCTAGAAAGACCAAATACAGCATCTACATCCCTTACTATAGTTAATTTTACTAATGAATTAAAGGTCACTATTATATTGAGTTTTCCTTATGTATTTATTATTTATTTATTACAGGTACTTATATAGTGCCGTCAATTTACGCAGCACTTTACATATATATTGTACATTCACATCAGTCCCTAACCCTCAAGGGGTGTACAATCTAAGGTCCCTAACTCACATTCATATACTAGGGCCAATTTAGACAGGAGCCAAGAAACCTACCAGCATGTCTTTGGAGTGTGGGAGGAAACCGGAGTACCCGGAGGAAACCCACGCAGGCACAGGGAGAACATGCAAACTCCAGGCAGGAGGTGCCGTGGTTGGGATTCGAACCAAGGACCCTAGTACTGCCAGGCGGAAGTGCTAACCATTTAGCCACTGTTCTGCCCACATGTATAGATGTATAGATCCTGGATTATGCAAACGACGTTCCTCAATGTCGGAAGAAACCTGCAACTGCAGGCAGCCTTGTAAAAGGGAACCAGTGTGTGATCCTTGTATGGATCCACTGATTGCGATGTCAAATCAACAGATCTATAACTGCCCATGAGTGCCAGTCTTTACAGCTCTGGCTGCAATTACCGCTGCAATTGTCCCACTCCAGGGTACCAGCCTTGTAATTACCAGCAGCTCCCTGGCACAGGTTTCTATGGAGATAACGCTTGACATGAATTTTTAATGTGATTGCTCAATATTAGCAAAAGGAAATGGAGAGTCAGAACTAAAGTTATAGAAAAAAAAACAGAAGTGTGAAAAATCCTAATGGAGGAAATGTACAAACAAAAAGAAACACATTTAGGGTATATACAGTATATAGGCACGCAGCACAGTAACCATTATTATTGCTAGGGGCCTCATTTCCTTCAGTCAGGGATCCTGTCGCCGTGCAGCCGTGCGACAGCGACAGATCCCCTCGGGCCATGGCGGTGCGGTGCGATGCGCGTGCATGCAAGTGCGCATGCACAGAAGCGCAGAAGTGCACGCATCCGTAGTAGCGTACACGTCACCGCTTGGCGGGCTATTTAAACCTGCAGAACAGTAAAATCAATGCCTTCTGGTCTACAACGCCCCTGCACTTATTACTGATTCTGTTGCCTGTATCCTGATCTGACCTAAGAAATGAACTCCGCCTGCACCGACCTCGGCTATCCCTGACCATCCGCTCGCCTGCTCCCTTGTACTTGATCTGCTTGCTAGTACTGACCTGGCTTGTCTGACTCTGCTGCACCTACTTACCTGTACCTGCACCTGGCTTGCATCCTGATGGCTGCCATACTTACCTGCTGCTGCACCCACGGTACTGCACCTGGCCTGCATCCTGGTCACCGCCATACTTACCTGCTGCTGCAACCACGGTCCTGCACCCGGCCTGCATCCTGGTCACTGCCATACCTGCCTGCTGCCGCATCCACGCTCCTGTGCCCAGTCCAGTCTGCATCCTGATTGCCGCCATACCTGCCTGTTGCTGCACCTACGTTCCTGCATCCGCACCTGGCCTGCATCTGGATCTCCTGGGTCTCCAGATACCTGCCGCCAGCTCCAGATCTATCCGGCACTCGTGCCACTCCTGGCTCTGCGCCCTCTGTTCCCACTATCAGGGGCTCCGAGCAGGAGTCGTAAGAGGACGCCTTCTCTCCACGTCAGGCTCCCCAATCAGGTACGTGACACCTTCCTTTCTGTCCGACCCAGCTGCCCCTGCATTCTGTTTCGCAACCTGAATGAATCGCGACGACCTGCCACCAACAGTTTTTCTCAAACCTGCAACACGATCACAATGTCCAGTGCTATAATGCCTTGACTGTTATCACGTACCTGGTGACAGAGGCCAATGGAGAGAGGGCTTCCCTTGCGGCTAAGTTCCAGACTCCCCTGAAGGTGGGACAGCAGGAGTCAGGCCCAGAGTAGCACAGGTCGCCTGTGGGAGTGCTTGTTTGGTGGTCCACCCAGGAGCATGGCTGACGTGCCGAGATGGGGTCTGCAAGCAGGGGGCACCTATGCGAGGTATGCAGATCTTCCAGAGAACAGAGGATCACAGGATAACCAGTTCAAGCCAAGGTTGGGTGCCAGGTGGAGATCGGAGCAGACGTAATCAAAAGGGATAGCCGAGGTCATACACAGAGAGCAGGAGAGAAGATCCGTTAGACAAGTCGGGGTCAGGTCGGGGTTAAACAGAGCAGACAGGTCCAGGAGCAAGCCGAGTCGTTAACAAGAAATCAAAAATCAGGATAGCAAGGGAACGAAGGTACTAGGGAGCCAGAGATCAACCAGCACCAGAGAGTAGTGCAGGGCTTCCTTATAAAGGCCGCCAAATTTGAGCCGATGTGAAATTCTGCGGCCATGCAAGGTACTGGCAGGGGTGCCAGGTCTCCTAACAACTCTGTCAGCCAACAAACACATGGTTCCAAAAGCTGAACTGATTACGAGGTGTATTTAAGGGATGGCCAGACCTGCAGTCTGGGCCTTGTGTGTGTCATCAGGAACAGTGGAAGTTAAAAGCAAGATCTGGAAGACCAAGAAAAATATCATTTTTTTCCATGGGAAAAACAATTCCCCTGTTTCTTGTTACCTACGTTCCTGTTCCTGTCTGACTGATTTGTTGCCAACCCAGCCTGATCCTGACCTCTGCTGACTTCTCCTGTTTGATCCCTGGCTTGTGACCCCGACCATTTCTCTGCCTGACCCCCTGTACCTACCTGCCCGTTAGCAAATTTTGCTGTACCTGGCTCGTGACCTGACTACTCTCTGCCTGCTCCTCCTGTTCCTACCTGCCCGATTGTTATTGACCCGACCTCACATAATTGAAAATCTATGGCCTGCCTGACGACGCTTGCTTGTATGTACTGTTATCTGTGGGTGGTTGGTTGGGTTTGTTTGCACTGTATTATGTTTAGTATTGCACTGCGTTAATGTTTGTATTGTTAGTGTTAATAAAATTATATTGTTTATCACAATATCTGAAGTCTGCGTTTCCCTGCGTCAGTCACACACCTCT